CCCTGCTCCTCTCTTGTCAAAAACTTACAGAAAGAAGTAGAACGCACTTTGGATAAGACTAGCCACGTGACCAAGAAACTGTTGATAATAATAAAAATAAGAATTACATAATTTTGGAAAATCAAGAATTCACTGAAAATAATCAAGAACCTGACGAAGAGACAATATTATTAAATGAGAGTGATGAAGAATTAATCAACCTAGATGAAAGTGACGAAAATGATGAATAAAGTAAATAATTTTTTTTAATAAATATTAGAAATATACGTTATAAAACTTACTATACAATTCTAATAATAATATTATTGTTAAAGATTTTTCTTGTACTTAACTTTGAAGGTGAACTTGCATTAGTATTAAAGGAAATTGGGCAGAATCGATGTGAATGTTGATCTTGCATTTTTTTTGTAATTTGAAAATACTGTATGCTGTAATATGAAAATTTTGAAAATTCATGCTGTAATTTTTTTTTTGTATTAAATTTATTGTCTAAGCTAATATGCATATGTTGGGTTAATATTTAAAATCATTTTGCACCCATAATGTTTTAGTATTTAAAATCGAAAAAAACTTTGACAAGAATACTTGTCTGAAAATTAGAGACGGTTAATATATATTTATTCAAAATCAATATTTTGTAAAAACTTCGAGACAAAAAAATTCATGCTATTACTATAAAATTTTAGTATCTAAAATGAATTTTCATCATATGTCTCGCGCGAGATCGTGCGATATAATCATGCGAGCAACATGCGAAATGCATGCTAAATTTATATCGCGATATGTACATCTTTAGTTATAACAACTTTCTACCCTTTTATTTGAAACTTTATGCTTATCATCATTAGATCTCTTATCCTCCTGTTTTTGCGACTCCTTTATTTGGACTTCTTTCTGAGTTTTATCGTCTGAGCTTGCTATTACTAAAGAATCAACGGGCTTCATTTTTTCTTCTTTCTCACCTTTATTCTTGGTCACGTGGCTAGTCTTATCCAAAGTGCGTTCTACTTCTTTCTGTAAGTTTTTGACAAGAGAGGAGCAGGG